GCCATTCCTGAGGTCCAGCTTCGTGAAGACTGCCACGCCCTGGAGAGACTCAAAAGCAGAGGAAAGGAGAGGTAATGGATATTTGTTTCTTATAGTTATAGCATTAAGACCACGATAATCATATCAGCGACGGAGGCCACCATCCTTCTTCCCCATGAAAAAGAACCCTGCTCCCAGGGGTGATGTAGAAGGACAGATCATGCATGCACGTCGAGCAGTTTCAATGTACTCCTCCAGAGCCTGTCATTCGGGTTTGGAGATGCGGAAGAGGCGACTGTTGGGCAAGGTGGCTCCCGGGTACAGGTCGATGGCATAGTCATAAGGGCTATGAGGGGGGAGACTGGCTCTGGTGGTGTAGCAGGTGAAGAGGAGGTGGGTTGTCTGGCGAGGAGGCAGGTCGATGCACAGTCCGGGCTCCACTGGGTGATGATGCCGGTGGTCCAGTCCACAGTAGGGTTGTGTTGGACCAGCCAGGAGTGACCCAAAACCAGTGGCGTGTCCGGGACAGAGAAGATGTGGAAACAGATGGTCTCGTGGTGGTTTCCGGCGGAGTGGTGAAGTCCAGTGAGTGATGTGGGTCAGCAGTCGGCCATCGATGGCCCGGGTCTCTATCGCATGGGGCAGGGGTTCGGCAGTCAGACCTAGTTGCTCCACCAGGGCTGGGTCCATGAGGTTACCCCCAGCTCCGGAGTCCAGGAGAGCATGGCAGGAGGACACCTGACCAGCAACTTCTAGGAGCACGGGGAGGAGGCAGCTGGTACCCGGCCTGGTGGAGGTAGAGGGACGGCCCGTCAGTGTCCCCACTGTCAATGGTGGGCCTGCTCTTTTGGCCGCACCGGGCAGCTGGCGATGAGGTGTTCCGGAGCCCCACAGTATAGGCATGACCCGGTGCGGATGCGGCAGGCTCATTCCTCGGGGTCTAGACGGGCACGTCCCAAGTCCATGGGTTTATCCATCCTTCGGGAGGTGCAGGTGTGATAGTCCCCCATGCGGAGAGGTGCCCGGGCTTCGGCACTGCTGTTTGTGAATGCGTATGGCCAAGTCTACCAGGGAGCGGAGAGAAGGGGGCTCGTCACAAGTGTTCAGCTCGGCCTGGATGTTGCCATTGAGGCTGTGCCAGAAGGCTGCGCCTAGCGCACGGTCCTCCCAGCCGGCCTCCGTTGCCAGGACCCAGAAGTCGATGGAGTCGTCCAGACCTCGGTTGGCCCTGATGAGGAGGGTGAAAAAACTGTCCGTATTTCATTCAGGAACTCGTCGATGGTGGTGCCGATGAGCACGCCACTGGTGTCCGCAGCCTCGGCCCAGGTAAGAACTTTGCCTCGTAGCCGGTTGATCACGTAACTTATCTTTTTTCTGCCCGAGCGAAATGTCCATGGTTGCTGATCGAACCTCGGCCTGGATGTTGCTATTGAGGCCGTGCCAGAAGGCCACGCATAGCGTCCTCCCAGCCGGCCTCCGTCGCGAGGACCCGGAAATCGATGGAATAATCCAGAACACGATGCGCCCCCTGGCGGATAGTCATAAGCTCCCTGGCAGCTTGGCCCTGATGAGGAGGGTGAAAAAACTGTCCGTATTTCATTCAGGAACTCGTCGATGGTGGTGCCGATGAGCACGCCACTGGTGTCCGCAGCCTCGGCCCAGGTAAGAACTTTGCCTCGTAGCCGGTTGATCACGTAACTTATCTTTTTTCTGCCCGAGCGAAATGTCCATGGTTGCTGATCGAACACCCGGCGGCACTGCAGTAGAAAACCCCGGCACTTGTCCACGCTGCCATCAAAAGTGTCTGGTTCAGGAATGGATCACGACGGGGGCTGGCAGAACGGGGAGCTGAACGTGGATCTGGGGTGGCGACCCAGGTGGCTGGCTCTGGTGCAAGCAGTGGGATTTATTTACAGTGGAAATTGTGAATGAATATATACAGGATATATAGAGGAGTAGTGAAAAAGACCGGGTGTCGATCAGCGGTAGCAGGAAATACAGTCCATGGAGTGATGATGGGCCGGGCTGCAGATGTAGGATTCACTCCTGGGCTGGTCGGGTTGGAGGTGATGATGATTGAGAGGAGAGAATAGCAGAGAGACAGTTTAACGAAGACTGTGCATCGACCTGTGAGACGGTGGCTGGTAGAGCTGAGGGAAACCAGGGTCCAGAGGAGAGGTCCGACGCGGAGGGAAACCAGATGTGGCGGGGCAGGACAGACACTCGGGTAAACACAGAAACAGAAAGAGCTTACTTGGCACAAAAGACAATAATGTTAGCATCCCTGGGGGGCCTGAAGACAGAGAAAGAATTGTAAAGGGCCTTTATGTTCTAACCGCAGGATTTACATAATGGTTAAATCACTTGTGAGTGCTTTACGAATCAGATAAAAGCCATCAGGAAGTCTGGGTTTGCCAAACTGTAAAAAATCCCATTGACAGTGTTAGGTATTTTTAGTTAGATAGAAATTGGACACCTCCTCACAGATGAACAACATGCATTTTCTTGAGATGTCCTCCAGTGCTTCTTCACAGGCCAAGTCCTTCTCAGCATTCCCTTTAATGTCCTTGAGAAGCCTTCTAGCTATTTCCATAAAAAATGTCTCTTAACTGTTAGTAAGCTGGCCTGACCTTGGCTAAAGACAGTGTTGAGTAGTGTGATAACAGGCCCTTACACTGCTCAAACCTAACTTAATGCAGACTTTAGGAAACTGCTATTTGCTCTTAGACTCATGTTGATAGCAATGGTAAGATCTGTTTGTTGTGCCTTGATTGTTCGACCCAAATTACTGCTTAAAAAAACTCTTGAAACAAACAACACAAACATAAAGGTTGTGTCCGATGGATTATCAACAACAACAAATATGTAATAAACTACTTACTTAAGCCCCTTTCAGTGATGGCCTCAGTCCTTCAAGCTAGGTATACATGCTTTTACTATAAGTTTAATTGATGTTTTTGTTTGTTTTTTTAATCCTTGATCCAAATACAACTGATTGTGTTTTTGTTTATCCAGTTCTTCTTTTTCCTACCGTCTATGGGGATTGTGAAAACTTCTTTAGGGATGTAGAGCTTGTCCTCCGCTGTTCTGGCCCAGTTCTTCATCCCTCTTCGCCCCTTCATGGGAAAGTTGATATCGCTGGAAACCGCTGACACCGGCTCTCGCTGGATGGTTATCACTAGACAAACAAAAAACCCCAAAACATTAGGAACTGACTACAGAGCAAAGCTGCGGTTGAAACAGAGAACACTGGTGAAAGGTAAGGTGAAACCAAAACAATAAAAGCAACAGTGCAAAACTTGACCATTTAAAAAAGTCGCTGAGCCATGTTTAATTTTAGAAATCATTAGTGATGTAAGATAACTTGAGAAATATGGCACCATATGTTATATGTTATGTTAAAATGAATAATTTGGCAGTGGTTTTGATATGTCCAACGGTGCTGAACTTGACTGAGGATAAAGAACTGACCTGACCTTAATTCAATAAAATGTCTTAATAATTGAAAAACATCAATAAAACATTAATACTACAGTAGTTAGTAAGTGCCTAGTCACATGGAAGCATTGTGTGACACTTACTGAGGTTGTTTGTAACCACTAGAAAACTCTGAAAAGGCTTCTGGGCTTCTCCAATGAGGTGAATGAAATCTTCCAATATCCTCATCAGCAAAGCAGCACCGGGAGCGACCTGTGGAGGGAGTGATGAAAAAGATAGATGAGCACCAGTTATGATTATAATTCTTGGACAACTATACTTTAGATGTCTTTAATAGACATTGTCCAATATTCTATTAGATATTATTAGACTCACTGAAACGTATTTATTCATTGCACCATCTAGACCAGTGAATGTGCTCTGAGGCTGCAGATCGCAGGATATAGTATTATTATTATATTTGGTTGCTTGATTATTGTGTCCAGATGGCAAATGATCACAACACAACTCAAGGGCATCAAGCAGGGTTACACAGAAATATTCACAGACACATACAGTCTTATGCAAAAGTTTAGGCACCCCTTGATAAATAACAAATTTTGGTGATTTTTTATTTGAACAGATGTTAACACAGTTTCTCTTGGAAATTGAAAAAATGCACAATATTTTCTGCAAACAGTGATGCATAGTTACTTCTTATGCCATAAATTGAACAAAAATAAAAAATAAAAACATTATTATGGCATGGTGCAAAAGTTTGGGCACCCTACACAATCAGTACTTAGTAACACCTCCTCTGGCAGATATCACAGCTTGCAAACACTTTTCATAGCCAGCTAAAAGTCTTTCAATTCTTGTACTTGGGATCTTCTCCCATTCTTCCTTGCAAAAGGCTTCTAGTTCTGTAATATTCTTTGGTCGTCTTGCATGCACAGCTCTTTTAAGATCTACCCACAAATTTCCAATGATGTTTAAATCAGGGGACTGTGATGGCCATTCCAAAACCTTCAGCCTGCGTCTCTTGAGGTATTCCATAGTGGATTTCGAGGTATGTTTAGGATCATTGTCCTGTTGTAGAAGCCATCCTCTTTTCAGCTTCAGCTTTTTTACAGATGGTGTGATGTTTGCTTCCAGAATTTGCTGGTATTTAGTGCAATCCATTCTTCCCTCCACCCGTGCAATGTTTCCTGTGCCACTGGCTGCAACACAACCCCAGAGCATGATAGATCCACCCCCATGCTTAATAGTTGGCAAGGTGTTCTTTTCATGAAATGCTGCTCCTTTTTTCTCCAAACATGCCTTTGCTGATTGTGTCCAAAGAGTTCTATTTTAACTGCATCAGTCCACAGCACTTGTTTCCAAAACGCATCGGGCTTCTGTAGATGTCCTGTTGCATACTTCAGACGTTGGATTATATGATGGGGACGCAGGTAAGGTTTTCTTCTGCTGACTCTTCCATGAAGGCCTTGTCTGTGCAAGCATCGCTGCACAGTGGAACGGTGCACCACCACTCCTGAGTCTGCTAAATCTTCCTGCAGGTTTTTTGCAGTCAAATGGGGGTTTTGATTTGTCTTTCTGACCAGCATACGAGCAGTTCTGTCCGAGAGTTTTCTTGGTCTTCCAGATCTCATCTTGACCTCCACAGTTCCCCTGATCTGCCATCTCTTAATTACATTTCTTACTGTGGAAACTGCAAGCTGACAACGCTTTGCTATCTTCTTGTAGCCTTCTCCTGCATTGTGGGCATCAATAACTTTCATTTTCAGGGTCTTACACAGCTGCTTAGAGGAACCCATGGTTGCTGGGTGTCCGCAAGTGTGTGCACAAGGTTTGAAGAGTCAAAGTATTTGTACAGCTTTGAAATTGGCATTTACCAATGACAGCTGTTGCTGTGCATCAGATCTAACGAGCTGATTAAGGTCTGAAACCTTGTGAGAGACTTTGAGACTCTGGAACTCTTAGGGTGCCCAAACTTTTGCACCATGCCATAATAATGTTTTTATTTTTTATTTTTGTTCAATTTATGGCATAAGAAGTAACTATGCATCACTGTTTGCAGAAAATATTGTGCATTTTTTCCATTTCCAAGAGAAACTGTGTTAACATCTGTTCAAATAAAAAATCACCAAAATCTGTTATTTATCAAGGGGTGCCTAAACTTTTGCATAAGACTGTATATACACCTGGTATAATGCGCCGGTAGCCATTGTGCTTAGTAAACAGGTGTGTTTTTATGACTCTAATTAATTAAAAGTTAAGGTTAATAAATATGTATGTACATGCAATTAATTACTTTACCACACACACACTTTGGACACTTTGCACAGAAGTAGACAACCACTGGTTATGGTATGAAGATGTACAGAAGCACAAACAGAATGATTTACCTGGTGAGCATCCTCCCATTTCTCGAGATTTTCCATGTCCAACATGTGGCTGACTATCTGGAAAAATTTCTAGACACAAGTTGATGTACTCAGTTACGAATGCGGCATGACCATAGCCATTGTTGTCTATTATGTATTTACTTTAAACTCAGCTGCTAGTACTGCCATTCATTCTGTTAGTAGTACAGTGGTCTTCCATACACAAGAACATTATCAAACTTAAAATAATGTCTGTCAGTTGACTGACTGAGACAGAAGCATTTTACTCGCTTGCAGGCAGTAAAAAGAGATAAAAACACTGCTAAAATATCCCCTTTGAGGCCATAGTTACTGTGCAGCTGTAGTTCATAGTTATGCACACCCTGTGTAATACAGTTTAAAGTGGAGTTTCTAGGCTGAATAAATTTGGAGCAGGTGTAAGTGTATCTGGGCATGAGAATGTGTCTATGACTGTGTGACTTGAGAGGGCTCCAAGAGAAGACTACCTGCACATCGTCGGGAGCTGGGATGTAGGTTGCTCTTTTGAAGGTGTCCGTCACATTTCGCAGGATCTCCGTGGAAAAGAGAAGGTCGCCACTGTAGTAGCTCCTCCTCTGCAAGAGCTCCAGGAGACTCCTTACGATCTGAGACATGCCCTCCCCAGCCAGGGTCCTCTGACCCTTCGCGAGATGCTCTCGTAGCTAGAATGCGGAGAGATAGAGAAATAGAAATTGATGGTTTCATTTTTCTGCTGGGTGTAGTCAATTTGTTTAAATGGAAGCCCTTTATTACTTACTGTAGCATATGTGTTTTTATTTAAAATAAGTAGCTAGTAAAAATGTCAGAAATGCAAGACCAACAGACCAAAGATCATGTTCTTTTTCTAGGAAATAATAATGATGTTTTGGATGTGAACTGAGGGGGATGTTTCAAGACAAGATTATTAAATATATATACACATGGTTGAATTTTCTGTGCTTGTGTTTAAAATAGGCAAGCAAAAAGAGGCCTATTAATTATTGACTCCTGGTGTTAATGGAATGTTGGAACAGAAACGAACAGTGCAATCAGCTCTGTCACGCACAATCCCTGACCCCCATCTCCTCCCGCTATCACTGAGGATATGGAAAAGGTTGAAGTTCACAGAGCAGGAAAGGTGTCTGGCTGATGAACACATTCATTAGCTATGTTCATTAGTTGATAAGTGTGAGTACCCAGCTCTGGAAAAGCTAATTAGATACGGGCAAGCCATCAGTAAAGAGACTATTTTGAGTAAGCTTAAAAAAAGAAACTTGAACAGAGGAACATGATGGGTGAAAAAAAACATCAAAAGCTGAGGTAGGGAATAACTTTTGATCCACTAATAATAATTTAATTCACTAATAATACAGACAGGTTTGAGGAAGGTGAGTTATGGAGAGTGATGCTGCAACTAACTGGCTCAAATGATGAAATCTGAAAGAATATACACAACTTTTTCCTTCTTGCTAAATATGACAAAAATACAATTTCTAGAAAGAGCTTCTGAGTTTGTGAGCACTTATTTCTTAAAAAGAAACTTACAGATAAATGTAAATATCTATATTCAAGTGAGATGCATCTGGCGAAGCTCGGAGGACCCCAGAAAGCAACTCCATTATTGTCCAGCATGCAACGACGACTAGCAGATCCTAGGAAAAATGAGAGACACACAGACTCCTAATATAAAATTCAGAAAAGTTAGAATTGAAATCTGCCCGAGGACTCATCATTATCTATGCTATTATTGTGAATGTGGTGTCTGTAGGCAGCTGTGCTGTGCATAAGTAGGATATACACAGAAATGTGTTTTAGGATCCATGAAGAAAAATATTCAAACTTTATAAAAATACTACTGCCATAAAGCAAGTGGTACTCCCAGAAGTAATAGATGCTCGTTCAGGGAATTTTTATAAATATATGGAAACCACTGCAAATGTACTGACACTTTTGAAAAAAATTTAAACAAAGCTCAAGTATGTTAATTGCCTTTTTCTTTGAGTAAAATATTAGGTAGAAGTGTTACAACTACAAAACATTTCACTTGTAGAGTTTCTGTAGTACTAACACCGGCTGTGTGTTTAACCGTGCAGCCAGGAGATAAACTACTGAAGGCTACCAAAAATGCTTTACTAGGACATGCACTTGCTAAACTCTAGCTCTGCCTTTTTATGAGTAATAGACTGACATAGATAAACTGTAAAGTTTCTCAGTTAATTAAATTTAACACACTGATTTAGCTCAAATGTTTATTAAGATATAATATTTTACTGGTAGGGTAGCTGATTCAGGAAGGCATGTGCTGATGTGGGAGCCAGTACCATAGTTTGACACCCATTAATATTGCAGGCATTCTGAACCACATCTGATCTTGGTTCAAGTTTAGAAGAAGAAAGTGTAAAGAAAAAAAAATCAAAATTTGTTTTTGCATTTGAAACTTTAAAAAATTGGTCCTGCAGTTTGCTGTTTGAGAGACTGTGCAGTTAACTGTAGATTAGCATTACAATGACAAGTAGTTTGACTGCATTCAAACAGGACAAGCCTGGTATATTCATTAACAGCAAATACTGGGTAATGCATGAATTGAAAATTAAAATTATGACTACCTCTGTATATCAAAGCTTAAAACAATAATTCTATTTAGGCATGACCATTTTGAGGTGCCTTAGACATGAATTTCAGCATTTAAATCAGTCTGGCTACTTACAGTATTTGCTCCAGACACAGAGCCACATTAAACTGATTTTGATACACAGAAACACAGACAGTATAATGATTTAGGATGTCCTGATTGTAATTTTATTTAACAACTTTTCCTTTGTACTGATGTACTGTTGTTGAACTGTATTTCCCAGAGTTCACATGAGAGAGAAACATTGGAAGCAGAACATTGTTTATTTTTTATTATAAGTTGTAGGTTCATTTTTTAAATTTCTCATTAGCTAAATCTGATCATGCTAACTACAGTGTGTGCTTCATGAAACTAACAAATGTCTGTTGCTCCTGTTGGTGTCAGGTTTGCCCGTCGCCGCCTACCTCCCTCTCTCTCTGCAGACACTCCCAGCAGAGCTCACAGTTGATTCTCATCAAATGATTACAGGGCTGGGCATTTAGGAGTGGCTCAGATGCGCTGACATTGCCAATTCGTTCTACCCTACTACGAAGTTTGGCCGCAGAAGACTCTATGATCTACTATTAATCTCTTCCCTACAACAATCGCCACTCTAACAAGCTCGAGCCTTCCAGCTATGATATTTTCCATAGTGCTCTCCACTTTGGCATCATCATCATCCAGAGCTTTTTCCTCTGCTGGCTGCACCGGCTTAGCCTCTGTTGCTACCTCCAGCCTACCCTGCACTGTGTGAGTCAACTCCCGATCTGGGAGCCCCGCAGCGTCACCGAATACACAGTGGAGTTCAAGGTTTTGGCTGCAGAGGCGGGCTGGGAGGATCAGGCCATTTGAGGTGCTTACTGGCATGGGTTACAGGACAGCATATAGGATGAGTTAATAACCAAGGATGAAACCACTACCTTCAACGCCCTAGCTAACCTGGCCATCAAACTTGATAACCACCTTTGTGAACGCCGACGAGAGAAGGCCAGCACCTCCAGCCGCACCAGACCCACACAACCTTGGCAACGACCAGCTAGCCCTCCTCAAATGATCTCATCAGGCATCGGTCCACATCCAAGGATGAACCAATGCAAGTAGGAAGGACTCACTTCACCTCACAGGAACGTGGCAGGCTGGGGCTTGCATGTACTGTGGAGGCCTGGATCATCACATCAAGGATTGTCTAAAACTGCCAAAAGGAGAGACCCATCAGTGAGAGTGGGGGTGCTGTAGGGTTGTTTGAGAAACCACACCACCAAGAAATCCACTAGCTTGGAGATGCCTATCACGCTGAACATCCCTGGCCAGGCACTCTCACTCACCGCATTAGTGGACTCCGGAGCTGGTGAAAATTTGATGGACATAGAATTAGTTAAAAGGCTGCGGCTCGAACCGCAATCCTTGGAGCACAGCCTAGAGATGCATTCACTAGACGGTGGCTTGTTGGCCTATGTCACCCATCAGACTCCTCCCATCCAAGTAACAGTAGCTGGCAACCATTGTGAGACCACACAGTTCAAAATCCTGCACTCACCTCAAACTCCAGTGGGGCTGGGGCATGCATTGCTCTGGGTCCACAACCCTCAAATCGACTGGTAGACTGGCAATATCACTAAGTGGAGTCCAGTGTGTTCCTCTTCCTGTCTCCAAGCGGCTCAACCTCTTCAGGCCTCTGCTCCACCAGCGAACCCAGACCTTTCCCAGGTCCCAGTGGAATATCTCAAGGAGGTCTTCAACAAGGATCAGGCCCTATCCTTACCCCCTCATCGGCCTTACGACTGTGCAGTAGACCTCTTTCCTGGTGCCCCCTTGCCCTCCAGTCATCTGTATAACATCTTTAAGCCAGAAAGGCAGGCCATGGAGGACTATATTCAGGAGTCGCGCAGATCAGGTCTCATATGACCATCATCCTCTCCACTGGGGGCTGGCTTCTTTTTTGTGGGTAAGAAAGACGGCTCCTATTGCCCTTGTATTGACTACAGAAGTTTAAACAATATCACAGTCAAAAATAAGTACCCTTTACCTTTACTCCATTCGGCCTTTGAGTCTCTACAGGGGGTGTCAGTTTTTACCAAATTTGATTTACGCAATGCTTACGATTTGGTGAGAATCAAAGAAGGAGATGAATGGAAAACAGCTTTCAAAACCCCCCTCAGACATTTTAATAAGCCCTCATTAATGATGTTCTCAGAGATTTTCACTGCCAGTTTGTGTTTGTTTGTCTGGTTGACATACTAATCTTCTCTTCTTCTGTTACAGAGCACCGCAGTAGTCAACAATGTACAATTATACATGTGCAAACTGAGAATGTAAACAGTACAGGTCATCAGTACATGACGTATTTCCTAGTAATAAACTCCTGTCAGCTGTTTAGAAGTCTGATGGCAGAGGGAAAGAAAGATTTTTTCAGTCTATTGGTCCTGCATTTCACACTTCTGAACCTCCGGCTGGGGGGTAGCAGCATTAACAGTCTGTGCTGGGGGTGGGTGGGGTCCTTGAGGATGGG